TCCTTCTTCCTAGCGCGGATGTTCATGCAGCGGCCTGAGTATCTCCGTCTTAGTCAATACTTAATTCCGAACGCACTTTTGGGCCTTCTGAAAACCTGCTGCAGCAAAGGTTCAATGTTCGTTTCAGTGCGCGCGTTTGCGCGGGAATCCTGAACAACATTTTTGGAAATCGTTCAAACCCTTTTTTCTAAGCGAATAGGGGATGAACGGCCACCAAAATTGGCTTAAAGATGCGAGTAGAACAAGGATTAGAAAAAGTATTTAAAAAATCTTTGAAATATTATGAAAATGAAAGAATCGCCGTACCTTTTTGTGATTTAGATCTCTGGCGGAACCCACGGGAGACCCCAGGTCTCCGATTAGCAAACACTTTTTTGTTCCTCATAATTTTACGTTCCTCATAGCAAACACTTTTTGTGCACCTCTTGACCCAACTTACAGCAACCAGATCACGGCATTTCTCCCTTTTTTGCTAGGGCTCTAAATTACTTTTCCTTAATGAAGAAAATGCGCTCAAAGTATACGGCACTGCAGGCTTATCCTGATTGCACGCGTTTGTACAGGTTACAAAGGGGGCTTCGTAATTTCTTGTCCTTTCAGGTGGGTATTCGTTCTTGTGGGGTTCAATCGGAGACCTCGTACCGAGGCCTGTAATCAATTTCAACTTTTGTCGGGAAGATGTGGGAGTTTGTCTTCGGTAATGTTGTCAGCGGAACACGGTAGTCGAGAAGGTCTCTGTGGTACTTCTTTTCTCCTTCCTTGTGCTGCCGAAAGTCTCGATTGCCTGCAATTTCGAAGATCTTCTGGCAAAGCTGATCTGCTGATAGCTGATATTAGCTACCAGTCGCAATATGGGATGCAGTCGGATCCAGCCACAGTACTCTCCTCCTCTCCAGCAGATCCTTGATGGCTTTCAAAATTCATTCCAAGTTCCTTGTTTGAGGCATTGAGCACTTCCACTACAGGCCGTCAACCCTCTGAGAAACAGGTCGTAGTTCTTCGTTGGGCCTCCTCGATGGGCCAGTCACAAGTTCAGGAGATCCTACAATCTGACGCCGTCATATACGACTTCCCTCCTTCCTTCAACACGGTGATTTTTTTTCATTTCTTTTAGAATTCGGGA